AAGAGTCGAGCTGCGCTGTGTGCAAGGAGAATTTCGAGCTGGGGTCTCGTGTGAAGAAGCTCCCATGCAAGCATTTCTACCACTCGGATTGTATAGTCCCATGGCTCGAGCAAAGGGGCTCGTGTCCCGTTTGCCGCCAGGTGTTGATCGGTCGGGGGAATGGAGCAGAGGACACGAGGGAGCGTGATGGGAGACAGAGGAGAAGGAGAAAGAGATGGTCGTTTTTATGGCCATTTGGTTCGTCTCGATCGGGTTCGAGCAGTAACGAGACGGGCGATGTTAGCCCAGTTGCGTATCGTCAAGATAGTCACGACTACAATGGGTATGCAGAAAATTGGCCTTTTGAATAATTGATAAGGTTTTTTTTTTTGGATATGGTTTCTTCGCGCGTTCTTTTCCTTTTTTTGTTTTCGGGTTAGTTTACAGTCATTGTGATTTGTGATTTTCATCTGTTTTGGACGAATAAAACCGGTCGCTGGACGAGTTTCGTGCTGACAGACACGAAGAACTTGTGTGTACTGCATTTGTGAATGAAATTTTGCTGGTTTTTTAGTCTGAAAAGCATGAAGAACTTGTGTAGTGTATTGTGAATGAATGAAATTGCTGGCTTCATTTGTGAATGAAATTGTTGTGATTCTCTTTGTCAACTCAACCCTTAGCTCGTTGTACCATATTATCTGAGAAACCCCTTGTTCCCTATAGTCTCATTTGATGCTAAGACTATGTTTATAAACTAAATAAGCTTACATTCATATAAGTTTATTTATAAACTAAATAAGCTTATCTGAGAAAGAAAATCCTTAGTTTATAAGTTTTTCATATTTAAATAAGCTTCTTGTATCTCATAAGCTTCTTTTGGTAGTTTTTCAAATTGATTAGTTTTTCAAATAAATCAATTGAAATTTTTATTTCAGTTAGCTTATCAGCTAATCTATATATATATAAAAAGATTTACCATTTTTCAAAAATAGTAGGTCAAATTTTGGTCAAAATCATTTTGCATTAATTACATTCTATTCTTAGTAACTTTTCTTTTCTTTTCTTTTTTAATAAAAAAAGTAGCATTAAATGCTACCCATTAATTAAGGATTTTGTTATTTTGGTTTTCAACAAAACTATGAATATTGTCTATTATTTGGGGCTGGTGTTGTTTTATTTTTAAAAATTATGTTTAATAAAGGAAATAACTATATATTACCCTAAATTGCTGGATAATTAAATTGTCTTGCTTTGTGTCTTTACTTGCTTAATAAATTAATTAGTGTTGATTTAATGCTCAACTGGTCAAACCTTTTTTTTTTCAAATTAAAAATAAATATTGTATAACCGATAAAAAAAGAATTAAATATGTATAGATAATATATTAATTACTTTACAAGCTAGCCCTAATATACAAGTGAAAAATATATATAACATTTTTAGACTTAAACGAACAGAGTCGTCTGAAAATAATTCATTTAATATCTATGTCTCGTGCATTGCACGGGGTACGTACTAGTTTTACTTAACACTTTTATCATATAAGCTAGTTTCTCACCCATACATCATAAACTATCAGCTATAAGCTTTAAATTCACTTTAAAAGATATAAACTAGAAATCCACTTAAAGATATAAATTAGAAATTCACTTAAAAGCTATAAACTAGCCTATCAACTAGATTTACCAAACATAGTCTTAATATGTTCAAATTTTTCTTACTCTGTTTCTTCTTGTCAATGTTAAAAAAGTCAGAGGCATGTTCTTCGTTTCTGTTAGGTCGTAACAATTTGTGCTCGGTAGTTAAGACTGCTTCGCTTGTGTTGGGTTGTAAAGATTTGTGCTCGGTAGTTTAGACAATAGATTTTGTTTGTCTGATTATCAGTATCACCAAGAACTCATGTGGCACCTTACATTCAGATGGCTGGTGATACTTTCTGCTAAAGATTTATCAATTTATATACATACATGGATAAAAGCAAGAATGAAAGGGGAGAAAGAGAGAGCAATATGTAGAGAACCAAATCAATAAAATCCAGCAAGCTGTTTATCGTACACCCATGAAGAAGCAAAAAAATCCAGAAATCCACAAAAACAAAAGTTAAAACACCAAAACACTCGAAACCAACTTCAGATCCTTGTCGAATTTCTAAAAAACACCACACAGACAAAGCTTTTGCTAATTCGTGAGCTCCATAATGGCTGATACAATATCTCCATCTGCTTCCTTGAGAGCTTTGACTGCCCGAGGCCTCGATACCCCAGCCTGAGTCATCACAAGCTCGATGTCTTTGGGCTCGACACCTGTCTCATCAACCTCTTCATCATCATCCTGTGGCACGCTGGATGGCTCGGCCTTTGGCACCACATTGCCAACGTTAGGAGCCTTAAACTGCTCGGCTGCTTGTGTCTGGAGTTGGGAGCTCAAGTCCTCGATCTTCGCCTCCCCAAATATTACGTAAGTGTCTGAGTTTGGGCTCTTGAACACGTCTGGCTTTGAGATGACAAAAAGGATCTGAAAAAAAAAAAATAACATGAAAAGAATTTAGCTGAATGCATTGTTTCTGGTGTTTGTTAGGGAATAATAATGCCCATCAAGTTCAATCCTCCAAACTGTATTTCAAAATTAGGGAGTAATTAAATTTAGGCTGTTTTCGAAAATTAAATGGAAAGCATTTAGGAGTGAAAGAGTAAGTTGAAGGAACCTGTTTAGGAAATATGGTGAAGTTTGATAATATAATTGAAGAACAAGAACAAAAAATGTAGACAAAACAATCTGAGGCTACTTTTTATATGAAACTGAAAGTTGGACCTTTAATTTCAATTGTTTAAAGTTTGAGCAAAAGCTTAAAATTGTGAAATAAAAAAAGTTGGGGTGAGGTGTTTTTATAACTAACTCAATTAGAATTACCCTTCCTTGTTAGTAATCCATCCACATAAAAAAGGACTCTTAATCCGTGGATGGTATTTGCTCAGAAAGTGGTAAATACATTAATGCTTAGAAAAATAATTAGATTTTTAAGCAATTAGATCAAACATCAAAGGTAGGATTTGAAATTTATAATAAAGGCTAGAGATGATATTGTGAAAGAAAAAACCAACATTCTTGCTCTTCTTAACAGTGACTCGGCTAACCCCAGGAATGGCCTTCATTCCTAGCTTTAGCATTGCCTTCCGACTCTTTTTCTCACTTCGACTTTGCTTTGACCTGCCACTGGAATCTTCTTGTCCTAACAAGAGAAAAAGGCAAATACAACATTATCAAGTATTCACTTGTCAAAATTATTAACATAACTTCTAAAACGACAATAAAACAGAGAAACTACGATAGGAAACACCACGGGAGGTAAGTTGAAACAAAAAAAAAAAAAAAAAAAATTGTTTGAGAGATCCCCAAAGCAGCCCATTAGGCACAGTTTGTTTATAAGTTGCAGTGAACACTGGAATTACATTCTTATAATGTCTAGTAAATAAGTACATCAATATCCAATTTAAAAGTAAAAGTATCATCTAATATAGTCATAATCCTTACACGCTTTTTAGACCAGAGACATGTATCTTCCATACCCATGAATATGATATGGTTCCACTCAAATAACCAAATATCTAGGATCCATTAATTAGTCTAAAGTACCACCAATGCAAATAAATAAAAGGATAATCTGAAAATATTGATCGTAAAGGGGGCCCAGACTCAAGTATCAACTTACCTTCAGCATCATCTTCATCTCCATCATCATCCTCGTCATCATCATCATCGTCGTCCTCGACCAGCGGCTCTTCATGCTGCAAGCAATAAATTAATGACAAATATAAGCCTTCATAGTAAAGAAGATGGATAAGCACGAAAATCACAAAAATGTAGAGTAACACCAAACAAGTTCCCAACTTTCATAACTCTCACACTACGATACTCAAGTTTGAACAATGCGTACAAGAATTTACTCACATTCAATTTGTTTTCTGGACTAGTTAAATTTACAGAACCATAAATTAAGAACATCCTGAGCAAACGTATTTAAATTAATGGAAATGAAAGAAAAAGCAATTCATGCTTTTAGCAACTCTCCTTATCCATCGAAAAAAA